TGGCAGCCATCAAGAATATAAACTGTCGGGCTGGGATGTGGCTCAAGCGGTAGCGAGCTCGCCTGGCATGCGTGCAGCCCAGGTTCGATCCTCAGCACCACATACCAACAAAGATGTTGTGTCCACCGAGAACTAAAAATAAATATTAAAATTCTTTCTCTAAAAAAAAGAATATAAACAGTAATAAATATTGGAGAGGATATGAAAAAAATGAAAACTTTTACACTGTTTGTAGGATTGTAAATTAGTACAACCACCATGGAAATCAGTATGGAGCTTCCTCAAAAGGCAAGGCATGAAACCACCATATGGCTCAGTTATAGCACTCGTCGGTGTTTGTCCTAGAGAATTAAAGGCACAATGCTATAGTGATACATGCATACCCATGTTTATAGCAGCACAATCCACAATAACCAAACTATGGAACCTAATTAAGTGTCCATCAATAGATAAATGAATAAAGAAAATATGGTATATACACAGAATGGAGTTTTATTGAGCCATAAGAAAAATAATAAACACTGGGAGTAAAACTGGCCAAATTGTATTTTTATATTGTGTGCATGTATAAATATGTGACAATAAATCCCACCATTATGTGCAACTATAATGCACAAAAAAATATATGGGTAAAAGAAGAACTTGTAAAAAATTCTTAAAAATTGATAATAGAACAAATCACCTGATTTTTTTCTTTTTTTAATTTTTTATTTGTTTTAATTAGTTACACATGACAGTACAATGACCTTGACATATCATACATTTGAATCAGATGGGATATAATTTCTCATTTTTCTGAGTGTACAGGTTGCAGAATCACATTGGTCATGCAGTCACATATATACACACAGTATGATTATTTTTTTTGTTAATGGGCAAAAGATCTGAAAAGAAACTTCACCAAATAAGATTATACTAATGGCAAAAACAAAAACAACACATAAAAATACATTCAATATCATTCACCATTAGGGAAATGCAAATAAAACTACAATGAGCTATCATCACCATGCACCCTACAATGGTTACATTTTTTAAACTAGTAATACAAATATTGAATATTGCTAAAACACTTGACAAATGCTCCTAAATTGATCTATTGATTCGACACAAACTCAATCAAAATCCAAGAAGGATAGTTTTATAGAAATTTATGCAGAAACACAGAATCCTAAAATAGCCAAAACAATTTTGGAAAAGAGAACAATCACTACTTGCTTTTAAGACATACCGTAAAGCCATACAGACACACAGATCTATGAAACTGAATTCAGAGTCCAGAAAGAGGCCCACACATAAATGGTCAATTGAATTTTCCATAAGGTGCCAAGAAATCAATAGGGGAAGATTTTGCTCCTTCTTGTTCTTTCTCCTCTTACCTTTTCCCTGCCACACCTCTACCACTCTCAACACCTTGTGACCAAGGAATTCTTTCCTCTTTTCTATCATATTCCCAGGGCCTGGCACAGAGCCTGACGTAGAGTGAGTGCCTGGTTAATATTTGTTGAATAAAAGAATGGTGTTGCTTTTCAATATTCATTAAGTTCTTATTTGTGCAGAATCAGCTTGTATATTCTTTGCATTGGATTCTTTCTCTGTTCAGGTGAAGCACATGCTTCATTTTGACTTTTGGGAGACTGGTTGGCCTAGTTTATAAGAATGGTAAGAAAAACAGAAAAACAAAGATCAGAGATTTCTCCCATCCCTCCTTCAGGCACAGTCCCAGCACCCGAGAGTTCACATGTTCCTTTGGCCAAGCTTTAGAAGCCAAGTTGCAATTGAACTTTTGCAACACATTCTGGCTCTTTCCTTTAGATTCATTGATATTCATAAGCCTGCAAAAAAGGAGGCTCTTTTCACTACTGGGCAGCAGAACCTTTTGCTTGGTTTCACCATGCATTGGCTAGACTGCTGTCCCCCCGAGAAAAGCCCAGATGCTTCTGAAGAATTCCTTGGGTTCCTTGAGGAATTCCTTAGTTCTTCCAGATGGCTCCCCCAGCTTGAGCTGGGGCACTTTGACCTCGAGGGGTGAGTACCCAGAAGCCCATGTCACCCTGGAAGACACTGATGAAATTTCGTCCTCTTGAGTACTCTGTTGTGGTTTTCCTTCAGTTAATAACAAGTTCCCAGGTTCAGTATCCCACAGCAGTTAAGACAGAACATGAGGGCAGAGAGTAATGTCCTCAGTGACAGAGGTTGCTACAGTTCAATGGGCCAGCAGCCAGGGAGATTGCTTTTTCTTGGAATAGATTACTATTTCTGCTGTGTTTCTTGTTGTTTCCCCACACCCCTCCCCGGTTAGGTCAGAGACTCATAATATACACATGCCTTTGTTTTTCTTGATTCAATTAACCCATTTTCCAGAATAAGCAAGCTAGTTTCTTGTTTGATTATATTAACTCTCCCTCTCTCTCTCTTTCTCTCTCTCTCTCTCTCTCTCTCTCTCTCTCTCTCAAATACATATTTTCTGTCACTCTCTTTTTTAAAAAAAATAGGGATCTATATGTGGCACACTTTCAGGGAGTTC